TTGCAACGTTGTTAAGTTATACAGCTTTACAGGTGATCAAAGTTAGTGGGGTGGGCGCTTCGCTTGTACGGGCGACTCGCTTGTAAAACACGTTACTAATTAGTATTGCCCAAGGGTCATGGGAATCCAAGGACAGCGTATATGCTCGCAATTGGGTAGCAGCTGGGTACGTAAGTGGAGGTACTAGTTTGCTGCGCGCACGAGGCTCTTCCTAATCAACTGTATCGACATGTGGAATGACGACAGCCGCTGCACCCGCATCCAGTATTTGACTGATGTGTCCAGGCTACTTGGAGGGCGTACGTATAATCGGTGAGACTCCGACGTAAGTGCGTGCAAGTATGAGCTGCGCGATGGTGTGGGCCCGGAGATGAGTGTTCCATATTGCCATATTGATGAACATGCAGTCTATTGTTGCCAATTTGCATACCATTGGGATATCCTTGCTCCTTACCAGCTCCAAGGACATTGCGGTGCACACATCGCCTTTGAGAACCCAATTGCAAAACGGATTCGACGAAGTGAGGGCTTATTCTTATGTCATCATGGTTGTTGTATGGAAGTGAACTACGAAAGATGGTGGGTGTGAATGGGTGAATCTAGTCACACACTGAAGGAGCATCTGATTTCATGATAATTAGCTATCCAGTCAATTCGCTTCCGGTTTCGCTTTAGCAAAATGTCTCCATCAGGGAGCTTCCGAGGTACGGCAAGTATGCAGAGCATCCCGAATCATTCGTCAGACGTTCGCTGAAGCGACGGCCGCTGAAACCAGTGTTCGGCCGTGCGATCATTTGCGAGCAGTCTAAACACTGCCCCCTCTGTTGTCCGTTCTGGCGCAAACAGCGAAACCGGATTGCACTCAAATACATTTTATTGGAATGTGAGTGATGGCTCGAGCTTGCACTTATGCATCCATTGAATTTGGCAATCTGCCATGGATTGTTATATTATCTTGTCTATGCATATCACGTAATCCGGGGGCTCTTTTTGCATCACTAGAAAAATGCAAGAGCATTGGGAGGGCTTGCAACTCCGCCTGGTACCTATGTTGAAAGTAAGTCAACCCGAATCTAGATAAGCCAGAGAGACCATACGACTTACGGTCAAAGGCTCACCCGAAATGAACAATGTATCTTCCCAACTCGTCACAGATAGTGCTCAAGTCCTCCAAGTCAAGCAGTTGTCCAATAGGCATTCACCAGCCTACTAGCAATTTCTCATGCAGATGCCATTGCTGCGCCATGCAGGGCCATTCTTCAAAAGATCTCGTACCGCCCGCAACTGCAGCGACCCTGGTATTTTCAAAGGGATTCCAGGAGCTCTTTCGAAGGCTTCAAACCGGTATTTTCGGGCTTCTCTCTCTATTGCACCTCATGAAGCTCCTTTCTCCGCTGGGGTGATATGACCTCATATTGATGTATGTATCCGCTGCGCACAAACAATATGTCACCTTCTCGAAAGTCGGAAATACTCATTCCTTGAGCTTTTGCAGCTGACATAAGTGAATCAAAGTGATACCATGCTTTGAGAAGGTGTCAATATCTGTGCTGCCTTGCTCTTTCCCCCATCTCTACCAATCAATCAATACTCTTCTTTCTGAAATTACTTTTTTTGACATATATAACTCATGTCAGCCACGCAGAGTAGCACAATTGACGGTGTCCGAGTATACTCTGTAAACCTTTACCATCGGAGATTTTGAACTCTTCCACAATATGGCCTATGAAATAAAAATGTAGAATATTATGAGTAGCTGAGCCTATAATGGAGCACCTTCTCCAACCTTCTCGTTCTGATAACCGTAGTGTCTAGTTCCATCCCATTGTGAGTTAATATGCGTATTAAAGTGCAACTGTAGGATAAATGTAAGATCATGTGTAAAGTTTGGAACCTTCGAAACTGTATGTTGCCCACCTCTTCGTCATGCGCGGTTTACATTGGTGCAGTCCACTAACCTAGTTTTAGATGTCAAGAAAGGCGCTGATGGCAGATGAGTGGAGGTATAGATAGCTCTCCGGATGTATTGGTTTAGAAAAGCTTCAAGTCAAGCACGTAATAGTCATAGGCCCTAGCTTGAGTTCGCCTTATTTCAACCAGAAAACAGGCCGATACTAGTTGTACCAAGAGACTCAGCAAGGGTATCTCTGGTAGTGTAGTACAATGGCAGCCTTCCCAATATTTGGAATTTTCACACAGTATGGGAAAGACATAGCCAACCATAATGAACAGGCAAAAGCAGAGGTAAAGGTTTGGAATCAATCCAGAGGTCGGTTTCAATGCCACCCCAACATTTGGAATGGTAACAAGTGTGATGAAGCAAGGGGATTCGAATTACAAGCTAGGTACACTGTGATGATTTCCAATTTGCTCCAGCGATTCAATGGCGTCAGTTAGTACACTCTCGTCTCTCAGACCCTTGAGTATACAGATATACCTGCCGATTAGATCCTTGCAGCTCCAGTAACACAAGCACAAACCGCACTTGCACTAGCTTGTACCTGCAGCGCCGTCGCAATTCCACAATTGCCTACTACGCACCCAAGCGCACCGTTTTGAATGGCAGCAGAATTAGTGCATCGGCACGAATAATCAGTTCCGCCACAACCAACGGATGACGCGGCGGATTGAATGCACGGAACCTATAAGAGATGTCAGTTCTGAAAGCTAGAGGGAGACGGAATTGGGGACTGACGCCGCAAGTTGGGATAGCGGAGGCGACAGGGTCACAGCGGGTTTGGGCGGAGATGGAAGTTGCTAGGAAGAGGAAGATAGAGAGAGTAGACTGGTAGTGCATGTTGGCTGATGTTGGTTGCTTTTGGCTGCGAGGTGAGAATTGTAGTTGATTTTTGAAAGGCGATTTATCGATGAATTTATATTTCGTTTCGGAGTAGTAGCTCTCTACTCAATTCCAACTTTCACATGCTTCTTGCCATTGAACTCCGGCCTCAAGTATGACTATTGTTATAATCTGTACCACTTTCCTTGATTTGTGACGAGAAGATGCGGGGAAACATCGGAGACGTCAACTAGATAGGGAAGGCAGTAGTCACAAATTTTTGAAGTTGTGGTCACATGTACCAGCTGTGGTTCGTGGAGTTGTTAATCCCTGCTGCTGCCCCTTGCATGGCGACGGGACGAATTTGCGGGGAAGCTTGTCTTACAATAATGTCAGTAGGATCAGCATTCACATGCAGGTATACTCCGAGATATTATACCTGGGTAAAATCCGAGGCATTGAACTTGTATCAGTGCTAACTATCAGACATGTGAACAGAGAAGGGTAGTCTAAAGACATGTGACTTGCTATTACGAGCAAGGAGTGCACTATACTGAAACATTCCTTGAGATAGAGCCTATAACTAGCAGTAGTCGCTTACCGTGTCCGTGCGCGCAATGCGCGGATTCGCGCAATGCGCCGAACCCCCCTAATGCGCACCTGCAAACCTGAGGCTATAGAGCCACATACAA